AACGCAAGTGGAGTGCTGCGCCGTGCAGTACTCGCACTTGGACGAGGCGGGGGACCAGACACAATCGTGGTCCTTGACGCCACGAGCTTTGGCCTGAAGGCAGCGCAGGCAAAGGACACGGAACACGCCCGACAAAGCTCCCGCGGGAGTCGGAATCGGCATTGAAAAAAAAAAAAAAAAGGGTTGGAATTCTGCGCAGAATCCTGTCAGCCCAGCACACGTTATCACCCCCGTGCCAACGCGCTCCCATCACCTACTCGTTGTTGTGGATGGAAGTATCCTATCCAATTCATTAGTGTACCGTTGGACAATCCACGAGAAGGGGTCACTTACAGTTCTCGGAGGAGTGGTCGCTGGCGTTGTTGTTGGAGATGAAAGAAGAAGCGGACATGGCTGCGCACTCATAGTCTGGCTTACAACAATGAATTCCAAATCGGGTTAGCGTGAACACTTCTCCTTTCATACATAGGACAGTCTTATCCGAACGCTTCGCGGAGGCGATTTGGAGTCCACTCGGACCGCCAGGAATGCACCCCCGAGCGAACAAAGCAAAGTATAACTCGAACGCTTCGCGGATGCGATTCAGAATGCACTCGGACCACCACCAATGTACCCCAGAGCGAACAAAGTAAACTCTGATTCCGCACAATAAACGGAGTCGGTATGGCACAGCTCTAGCCTGACATACAACGCACCTTCCCGACATGGCACATAAACAGGGTTGTTACAGATGCCATTACAAACAGAATAGAACGCATCTTCTCACGGATACCATTCGGAGATGTTGCGGAAATAATTCTCACGTGTTTCGCGGACAAAACACTCTCTTAAGAGGGGGGTAGTGTAAGGATGCCAAAGCCCTCAGTGATGGAAAGCATCGGAGTCGGGCAGGTTACGGTCACGTGGGGAGCATTAGGGTAGGTTATCCGAGTCGGACCCGTTTCGGGTACTTAAGGAAATTGACTCAACGGGGGTTCCTCTCTTCATCTTTTTTGTATCCTTCGTAGTAGACCTATAGGATAGCATCCGTTTAGCCTCCGACTCGCACTCTCATATGCTATTACTGTGAGCTGGGTGCCCTGTGTCATTACAGCTCTTGTCCACAATTTCCTCTGTGCTATGAGGGGGTTCTTAAGGATCTCGTATCCTATTTGGCGCCAACGCGTCGGCGACTTTACCAGCTTGTTCTGAAGAATCAAACCCTGATCCACTGGCTGTCCATGAGATCTCTGGAATCACGGCTATTTGAAGTCGTCAGGTCTCTCCTCCGAAACATCACCGAGTCGCAGTCGATGGTGTAACGGTAGTTCTCCTGAGTCGTTCCGGTGTGGGATATTATTTAAGTACGGCCGTCCCCGGCAGGCGTGATCTTTTTTGTATAATGTAATGACACAGGGCACCCAGCTCACAGTAATAGCATATGAGAGTGCGAGTCGGAGGCTAAACGGATGCTATCCTATAGGTCTACTACGAAGGATACAAAAAAGATGATGGGGAACCCCCGTCAGTCGATTTTCTCAAGTATCTGAAACCCATCCGACTCGGTTCCGACTCGGTTAGGCCACCCAAATGATCACACGTGACCCCGCGGCTACCCGGAGTCTACTCCCTAGAATGAGAGACGAGAAGGCATCCTTACAGGCCGTCCCCGGCAGGCGTGATATTTTTTGTATAATGTAAGGAGACAGGGCACCCAGCTCACAGTAATAGCATATGAGAGTGCGAGTTGGAGGCTAAACGGATGCTATCCTATAGGTCTACTACGAAGGATACAAAAAAGATGATCGGGGAACCCCATGAGTTGATTGTCTCAAGTACCCGAAACCCATCCGACTCGGTTCCGACTCGGTTAGCCCACCCAAATGATCACACGTGACGCTCCAGCTACCCAGAGTCTACTCCCTAGAATGAGAGACGAGAAGGCATCCTTACACCTGCTCTCATTTACAATAATGAGAGCATTTGGCTCATGAATCCATATGAAGTTTGCCAGGGATAATGATAGCTTCTGCAAGTGCAGCACCACTTGCATTTACTGCCTCAATTACAGTAACAGAGAGCCGATTCTCAGGATTATCAACAGTCCACTGCTTTACACCGATTGGTACAATAACAGCTGTAGACTTATAACACCCAATCATATAGCCTGTGTCATCAACATTCCATAAATTATATGGCTTAATGTTATGTTTTGTAATAAGGGCGTTATATGTGAGAAAGAATTCCTCAAACACCTCTTTCTTTTGTGCTTGCTTCCGATGTGTATTTAACGTCTTCGTGTGAATTGTATGAAATTCGGGGTGTGCTTTTAGAAAGCGTTGTAGCCACCGTTGTGATGGTATTGTACGATCAGGTCGTAAGTCTGCAACTGCCCGTAGTATCATAGATCGGTTGGCAGGGACCCCGCGCTCAAGTTGGTCGTATATGAATTGACAGACCGCAGTCTCTTTCGATTGAGATAAGACTCGATTGCTACCTCCGTGGGGTAATTGAGGAGACGTAGTACTCGTAATACGACGTCGGAGTGTCTCACGGTTGACATTGAATTCATTTGCAACCCAAGCAATTGTATATGTACTTGGTTGTTTTAAGAAGAACTGTTGGGCCTCATTAAGGCGAGCAATCATAGTAGGATCATTATTTTGAGGCATTGTAGATACTACGTTATGAAGAATACTATTATTTTCTCTATATATCAAAATAGCGGTGTACGCACATCTTGCTGTCGCACGCACAACTTGCTGTCGCCACCTACGAGCGAAGCGAGTGGGTGGAACACCGAGTATGGAACGAACCTTTGTGGCAAACGCACAGGCCCAACAATTACCCTACTCGACAGACATTGTGGAACGAGGAAACTTCAGGGCAAATGTACAGACCCAACGATTACCCTACTCAACCGCAGACATTGTGGCACGAGGAAACTTCAGGGCAAATGTACAGACCCAACGATTACCCTACTCAACCGCAGACATTGTGGCACGAGGAAGCTTCGGGGCAAATATACAGACCCAACTATTACCCTACTCAGCAGCAGACATTATGGAACGAGGAAACTTTAGGGCAAATTTATAGACCCAACGATTACCCTACTCAGCAGACATTGTGGAACGAGGAAACTTCACCGCCAACTCCACTGATACCCCAAACTCTTCCGATTTTCGACTTGCCAAAAGCAAAATGGAGAGTTTTGACTTCTGATGAATGGAAAAAACAATATCATGAAGACAACCCGTTAGTAAAGCAAACGGAAATAGGACGTAAGACAGAGCTAGGATCAAGTCTACTTCACTTCGCTAACTTCTATTATAGGCAAGTTTGGGGTTTATAGAAGGTATGACTTTAATGCCGAGTCTCGACATCGCTAAATATTTGTAACGGGTGCCGCCGTTACAGTACATGTGGTATATAAAGCGTGTTACGCGTATTCCGGGCGAGCCGGAATACTGTAGTCTTTTTGGCTCAGTGGGATGTAGCGCGGGCGTAACCGTACATCATTACAATATTTCCCAGCACTATATCGAAAATACTGAGGAACAATCTTCGGCATAGAAGCGGAAGCCTTCCTTTAGCCAAGCCTGCTAAACGCAAATCTTGCAATATTGGACGAGCACTAAAACGGAGAAGGGGGGTTGACAGTTTACCGTCTCCTGCTTCTCCAAAATCATGAGTTCAGAAGAGGTCGAGGTGAATATCCATAGTGCGGCACCGTTGTCCGGTCTGGGGCTGGGGGACTCAACCGCTAACACGGGATGAGGCTCGGGATGCCCTCAATACGGTGCTGTTGTTCTCTCGCCAGGAGTCGGCGAGCATCATGGATGAGACAGACTATGCATGTATCTTAAATTTACTGGACAGGCTACAATAATTGCCATCTATCAAGTCTGCCTTGCACTTTCTGCAGTTACATTGTCGATAACTACGGCGCAACTGGACCTTACGTCGTGGTAATGCGTCGTATGGGCATTACAATGCAATACCACTCATGCACGTTGGCTTTAACCCTTTGCCCAGCCTGATGCACCTTCGACCATGTGTTCCTTCCCTTCCACTTTGAATATAACTACGGCAAATATCCTTACCTGCCTGACAGTATCACAATTCAACAATATGTCTCTTTCCGAAACCGAGTTGTGGCTTCAGTGGCTCTACTGTCCCTTCATCTGATGGGACACCGCCGGATAGGCAGATCCCACTTCCTTTGACACCTCCAGCAACCAGTGATCCCAGTCGATCGAGTGAGTGCGATGGAGCCGGTCACAGCCCGCCTTGCGTACCAGCCACTGCCCCCACACACAAGACTGTGGCGTTTATCTAGGTTTTCCGTCAGTATGGCTGAAAACGACGGTTCAAAGCCAGCTCTTTATTCAGCATTCGAAAACGTTATCGGAGATTGAAGCCCTGCGACAGCAGGGAAGCACAGCACCGCGAGGCAATTCGCAACGACGCGAACAAGAATCTGAACGACTTCGTCGCGAAGGACGGGGAACGAGAACAAGCAGCACAACAATGGGAACAAGAAGCACAACAAACTCGGGAACAAGAAGCACGGCAACAGGAACGTGAAGCAGAGCGACAGCGCTACGAACGGAGGATCGGAAAAACAACGTGACAAGGCGACTCGTGGTCTTAAAGTGTTGGCGACAGTACAGCTTGGCATTGCATGGCAATAAAGTTGTTGTCTATTCATACCTCCCGGTTCCAGCAGACCGCCGTAGGTAAACCTATACCGCAAGTTGCCGTGCAACTGAGGTCAGATTCCAGAGATGCTCACAATTACAGAGTGGTTGGATATAGGGCGCTGTTCAACATGCAGATAACCTCATCTTCCAAACTAATCCTTATTCAGCATAGTGCCCGCGCTTAGTTCCCGTCGATTTCCACCCCACCAACACCCGTCGCCTCCTACCCTGCACCTCTGACTCTTTTGCCCATCTTTGGCCATTTGAAACCCCGCTGTAATATAAGTTCACGTCTTGACCCTCGTCTTTCCAGTCGATATGGCCCCTCGTGAAGCAAAGCCAAACGTCCAAAGGGTTGGTCAGCAACCCTCGGTGCCAAAAGACTATGGCAAGTCATCTTTCGTCCTTGTAACGTACTCCAACTGATCATTGATAGGAAAGAGACCTCAAGGTATCGACAAAGGACGACCACATCGCAAGAGTGCGCGCCTAAAAAATCTAGAACGCCGCCAGGAACGAACCATACCCGGGGACACAAATACGCATCGAGCTCTATTTCCAAGAGTGAAAGAGGTATGTCCCTCTTCTTCTACGACACCTGCACAGCTAACTCAAGGTCACCACAGAACCCCTCGGAACCTCTAAAAGCTGAGAATCGAAAACGAAGACGACCGCAAGAATCCGAAAGTCCACTAAGTGGCGCACTATCCAATTCTGTTCGAAAACGACCGCGAACATCTGTTACAAGCTCATTTATCGGGGATAAATCTAGTCAAGTGGTGGCCTGCAAGTACAACATTAATCCGATTGATTATTGGAGAAGAAAAGGTCGCTGGCCTGAGGAATATTCCAAACAAGACGACCAGACTAGGAAAGGTATAAACAAAGATTTTGAAGACAGGCGGTACGAGACCTATCGGATACCAGAAGCGAACATGAATCACCTGCTTGCAAGGAGGAAGTCGTCATCTTCTCTTCGAGGTAAACAATCGGAAGCCAGCTCTACCACACCTAGCGATCAGAACCCGAGAGAAGCCAAAAGTACCACCTACGCCCGCCCTGTAAAGGATTTCTTGGCGAGTAGGGCAGTGGGAAGTCACGGGAAGGAATATACGTAGAATCCTGGTCTATTGATACGAAGACTGAACGCTGACCTTCCTCCGAAGGTCCGCGTTCCTACTATATAGTTCTACGTGTCCTGTCCGGACCGACATGCCTCCGTCTTGGCACTGAAGGGCACGTGAGTATTGCCCGCACGTGATTCGGTTCGTGACAATATCCCCCCCTTTGAGGCTCAAGCCCCTTTGAGCCCCCGATCCCGAGATTTGCTCGGCCCGTATTGTAAAGTGTGGTGGTGGCCGCTTATTGAGCGAGGCACGCTTGGTAAGCGGAGCCCACCCGCCTACACGTTGTTGTTGTTGTTTTGGCTTGCTGTGGTGAATTTCCCACTTCTGGCTTCGCTTCTCCTTTTGTTTTGATACAACACAACCTCTTCCACACCACAACGCTGCACCCTCGCAGCTCCTCTGTTTTTGGTACGTGGACTCCTTGAGTCTTCTTGAACCTTTTCTAATTCAAACAGCTTCACAGTACACACTCTCTTGCACTTCGCTGCCGCCACCATGCCTCCCCGCAAAGGTGACAACAAGGACCCAGCCGGGCTCACTCCCGCTGGCCCCTCCAAGCCAGGTGGAAAGACCACCGCCCCCAAGAAGACTCGCCCCCGCAAGCCCACTGCCAAGGCCAAGGAGAAGGGTAAAGCTGTCCTTCCATCTGTCGAGGGCAATGATGAGCTCGTTCCCCGTCGTCCCGCGCCTGAGGCGACCCCGCGCCAGACACGCTCGGCCACCGTCGCAAGTGAGGATGGTGCCCCAAGCCAAGCAGGAGCTGCTCGTCGCCTGATTGCCTTCCCCGCTATGGGCACGCCACAGCGCTTCAACCGCCCCGCGAACCCTTCCATTCTTGGTGGGGAGTTCAGCCCCTCGCGTGCCCCCTGCAAGAAGCCCGTCATCCCAATGTGTCTACGCTGCTCCAAGAACGTCTTCAAGTTCAAGACGGAGCTGAAATGCACCCGTGCGAACAGCATGGCCCGATGCCAGTATTGCTCGGATCAACACTGTCGCTGCTTGCCCGTGAGTCCTCCGCATATCCCCCGCATCGCTTGATTGTCCTCAGCCTAATCTGTTTTAGATCCCCAAGTTTGCGATCAAGAGATTCAATCGCATGATGGTTGCGCACGCGCAATTCATGGCTTCCTGGAACGTGGATGAGATGGTTATCCCTGTCATCAAGGCCCGCTCCCAAATCCTCAAGGCCCGCCAGGCCAAGTACACCCAGTTCGTCGAGCGTGGCAAGAATCTCCTTCGTCGCCGCCGCGCCTTCAGTGCGGACAGTAAGCCCGAGAAGATCGACGTCGGCCTCGCCCTCCTTTCTGTTGCTGACAACATCAAGGCACTTCAGCGTGTCGCGCGCTTCAAGGCTGACATGTATCAGGCAAAGGTACGCGTCGCTCCCGTTTCCCTTCCTGTTCTCCAACTAACCTCTCTTAGCACCAGCACAATCCCGCTGTCGCCACCTGCGAGGAGTACGAGAGCTCCGATAGCGAGGTGGAGTCAGAGGCTTTCCCTGGCAAAGATGACAACGACCTAGAGCTGGAGGCCAAGCTGGCCTGTCAGCCAGAGCCCTCCCCCACTCGCTCCCACATCTCCAACGACGACTTCTCCGGCGTTGAAGATGGTGACGTCGCCGCCTGATAACGCTTGCGCCACATTAGATAGTTGAGCTCCGGTTCTAGAATAGCGAATTGATGCCCTATGTGGCTTTTCTACTCTTGTGTTTACTATCCGTGACCTGTGCGTGAGCTTACTGCCTCTTGTGGTGTGGTTCTAGCAATGACACATGGAAGGTTGGGTGAATCCCCATGTCCCATGGCAACTAGCCTATAGGCCTGCTTTCCAATGATCTCTACGATCTTGAAGGGCCCTACGAACTGTTCCGCGAGCTTTCTGTTTGGCCTCCGCAGCTTGATGTTCTTTGTGGAAAGGAGGACTTGGTCCCCCATGCTATATTCCTTTGGCTTCCTTTTGAGATTATAGTGCTTCGTCTGCGACTGCGTCGCTCGGAGCCAATGGTGCGCCAGCACTTCCCTTTCCTCCTGGAGCTTCTGTATTCTTTCAAACGGCTCGAGTGCGTCCCCCTTTTGAGGGGCGTCCGCGACACTCACGTCTGGCATATGAGGATCAAAGCCTTTTAATGCCCGGAAAGGTGTTGTTTGAATTGTCGAATGGAAGGAGTTATTATATAAGAACTGGGTGATGGGTAGGAGTACTACCCACTCATCCTGGGAGCTTGTGCAATACGACCGAAGGTAGTGTTCGATTGTTTGATTCTGGCGCTCAGTTTGTCCATCCGTCTGCGGGTGGAAAGCGGTGCTCAAACGCTGGCGAATCTTTAAGAAATAACAGAGGCAAGACCAGTAGCTACTTGTGAATACAGATCCCCTATCGGAGACAATTCCCTTTGGAATCCTGAACTCTGTGATAACGTAGCGGAGGATAAGCGTTGCCAAATCATTGGCATTCACCGTCTTATTCGTTGCGATATATAAGGCGTACTTTGTGTATCGATCCACAACTACAAGTATGGAATCGTACGCCTTCTTCGTCAACGGGTGAAGGCTTGGTGGGAGGCCTGTTATAAAGTCCATGGAGATCTCTTCTCCTGGGCCGTTTGGTTGTGGAAGCGGCTGCAACTCGCCGTATGGGCGGTGACGCTTCACTACCATTTTCTGGCAGATTTGACAGGTCTTAACGTATTCCTTTACGTCCTCCCTCATTTTGGGCCACTTATACTTCCGAGTAAGCAGTTCTGTGGTCTTCGCCACGCCAAAGTGACCTGCTAATGGGTCATCATGATGGATTCGGAGGAGCTCTTCAATGAGGGCTGGGTCTCGAGGAAAGGGGATGATGCCTTCCCTCGAAAGGACTCCGCTTTCCTGATGAAGAGCCCACTCTCTCTCTACGCCTTCCGTCTGTGGACGCTTCTTTGTCATTCGCAACGCTCGATCCTTCAAGAATGGGTCACCACTTTGGACTTGAACGATGAGCTTGCGAAGATCAAGGGATGGCTCCTCGTACGGTGCTTCTGTAGCTGCCTCTCGCATCACGCGACAGCGAGGCAGGAAAGCTTGCGTATCCTCTGCGTGCCCCTCGCGGGGGTGCAGCTTTAACTTGTCCACTTCGTGGAGGATATCTTGGGTTACCGTTCGCTCGCCCGCTTTTGCGAAGACGGCGCGGATTCGAGTACTCTTTTGCGACGCATCGCCCTCGCTGTTCTCTACAGCTTCACTATAACCACGGGACAGCTTTTGCTGGAGCGTGGGTAACAACCCATCAAATGCTTGATGTTGCGTTTCGACGTAGTCCGGTCTGCGACTCGGACCGTCCACGGGGTTGGTGCGGCCAGGCCTATGTTCAATCTGAAAATCGAAACCTGCTAGGAACTCGATCCAGTGGGCCTGCCGATTATTGATTGATACTTTCTTCATGAAGTAAATCAGATTATTATGATCCGTCCGTAACGTGCATGTATAACGAAAGTGCCAAACAAGCGAAAGTGCCAAAATATCGCGACTACCCCATAAGAATTGCGATAAATCCACCACAACAATATAAATTAATTAAAACTACTCAGAGTCCTCTTCCTCAGACCTGTCTATTACAATCTGACAAGTGCGCGCATTGTGTCCAGTCTCACCACACTTGCCACAGCGACGTGCATGGGTTTCTTCCCTTGGCTTCCGACCACTACTTGCCCTTATTTCTTGCTCTACTTGCTGCACAACGTCCCTCTCGTCCTGTAGCTCCTGTGCTACCTGTTGACTAAGTGATCCTCCTTGCTGTAGTCGTGTTTTTTTAGCTCTCCGGCGCTTGCTTAGCACTTCATTTGCCTGTCACAGGTTTTGGTTCTCTGCTTTTAACAATGCTAATTGATGCATTATTTGCGATGCACCCTTTGTAAACTGGTCAACAGCTGCATAGATTGAGGTTGGAGAGCTATTTTGATGATGCGCAATTCGGTTTTTAATGAAAGTAGACTGTGATACAGCTTCAGTTGGGTTATTTGGTGTCTGAGAAACCCATGGTTGAGCGGTGTTTGGGTGAGAGGTTGGAGGTGTTGGCGTCTTAAACCTAAGGTCAAGTGTAGATATTACACTCTCAGGGCTAAATGGAAGAAGCCCAGCACCTCGGAACCCTCCCTGAATATTGCTTTCTGTCATTGCAATGTTAAATGCAGCGTGGAAGGTAGGAAAGAAGTCATCCTTAGTAATGTGAATAATATGAGCCCGCATCATATCTTCAATTTGCCGACCGTAAGCTCTCTTTAATGGGCCAAAACAGCCAACATCAAGTGGTTGGAGTATATGGGAAGAGTGAGCAGGCATACAAAGCGTAATAATGTTGTGTTCTTTGCAGTACTCCTCAAACTTGTCTGAGTGGTGGCTCTCATGACCATCAAGGACTAACAAGCGATAACCACCAACACTCCGGGGCTTTGTGTGCTTCTCAAAATGCTGAATCCAATCCATACCTCTCTCGTTTGTAGTCCAGCCATTTGCAGTAACAGCGATTACCCAATCTGCTGGAAATCCACTATTCTCATACCAAGATGCAAGGTGGTTTTTACCTGCCACAATGACAAATGGCGGCACTGCCCAACCTTGAGAACTAACGCCTTGGATTACTGTAACCCATTCCCGATTGCCAGGCTGCACCTTTTTTGCCTTTGCCCGCCCATCTGAGCTCGTTACTACCGTTGCGCTTGAGATGACGCCCATCATAAACCCAGTCTCATCAAAGTTGTAGATATCTGCATTGTTAATGCCATACTTTAGAATTGTGTTCCATACAAGCTCAAACCAGCCACGAATGACTTCTGGATCTTCGCACTTAGCCTCTGGTAGTCGTATTTTCGCTGGAAGCGTGTCCGGAGCTCTACATGGCGCTTAACAAAGTTTGAAGCCCAACATGACCCGACGCGTGGTGCGTCGCGTGTTGCAAGTAGTCGATTTGCCATATCTTCAACAATAGACAACTGAGGAGGGAACCCTTTAGCAGCT